GCGAGCAGCAGGCCGACGGCGAGCTCGCTGGTCGACTGCGCGTTGAAGTGCGCGTTGTGCAGCGAGAGGTGCGGCCGAGCGCGCAGCAGCAGCCGCGTCGTCACCGTCGGGCCGGCGAACGGCACGATCACAGCTCGCAGCCGCTTTAGGCTGTCGAGTGCCTCGGCCGACGGGAGCCGCGCGACGAAGACGGTGGCTTCCGGCGGGGCCCGGCTCATCTCCGTGCCCCACGAGAGCGTCACGCCCGGCGAGAGGCTGGCCGCTGCCGCCTCGAGCAGCGGCAGCTCGTCCACGTCCGCCTCGTGGAGCAGATAGAAGGCGACCACGGACCACCGCCGCCGGTTTCGCCGCACGAGGTAGACGGCGGCGGCGGTGGCGGCGAGCGAGGCGGCGACGAGGCGCATACACACACACACACACACACGCACGCACGCACGCACGCGACAACGTGTGCGGTCGTTGTGCGGTCGTCGCCAGCTGGTCGTCGCGGGCAAAACGGGTCGTGTGGGTGTGAATTCCGGGGACCGGACGCCCGGGGGGGGGGCGGCAGAGCCCTTCGGCACTTTGTACTGAGCGACTGTGATTTCGATCACGTTACAGGCAGGCGTTGGTGGCGCCTCTGGCGCTGCACGCCAGCACGCCGCAGCGGGCGCGGTTACGTTCACGCCCCGCTTTCGGTTATGTTTTGAGAGAGAGATTTTTTGTTATGTTTTGCTGCTCGGCGGGCCCGGAGAAGCAGCCCGGAAAGCACTTTGATATTCAGCTGAACAACCTTTGATAGTCATACGCGGGTTCGATCGACGCACTTTCCTTTTTACCGCCGTGTTACACCGACAGAAAGAAAGAAAACAGCGGCACGGATTTCTTTTTAGGCGCGGGCGGCGTTAGCCCGCTGAATATCATGGGCGTCCGTCTCTTGTCACTCGCGGCGCTGGTCGCGAGGGCGGCTGCGTTCGACTTTGACGACGAGGCGCCAGCGGCGGCGGTGCCCGCCAAGCCCAAGCCGGCCCCCGAGACCAGCAAAACCGTCTCGCTGCTGCACCGCATCGGCGACGCCGGCGCGTTTGCAGAGCGCTCGAAGCTGTGGTATCGCGAGGCTGCCTCGGCGGGCGGCGGCCTGCGAGTGCGGCTCGGGCCCGCGAAGCTGAGCGGCGCCGAGCGGGACGCCTTCGCCGCCCTCCTCGACTCTGGCGGCCACTACACCCTCCGCCTGCCCTCCAACTTTTCGGCGCCCGCCGACTCGCCGCCGGTGTTTGCGTCGGTGTCGGCGTGCTCGCTCGCCGAGTCGCGCTTCGAGGAGGCGATCGAGCTGACCTTCTCCACCGCAGGGACGCTGACCTCGGTCTCGTACACCGTGCCGGCCGCCTCCGAATGCCCTCCCACTTTGCCGCTCGCAGCGACCGAGGTGCGGCCGCCGCACCGCACGCGCGCCGCAGCGGCGCCCCGAAGAAGGGCCGGCCTGCTCCCCGGCAGGTGGGCTTCTCCACCACGGTCACCATCACCTACCCCTCCGAGGGCCCGCGCCCGATCGGCCGCGTGCACGACGCCGCCTTCCTGCCGC